TGATTCGTAAAAAGGCTTGAAAACGATAAGTCGCTTACAGTTAGCAAAGCTAGAGATGATAGAGAAAGGTTCAATAGAGATAAGTTTGACATAGACAGATTTGACAGAGAACACTTTCATAGTCCTACGCCTGCCATGAACGCATCAAAGAAGCACCAGGTGCTGCGCCATACCAAGCTTATCTTGAGTGGTAGAGATAGGATTGATATAGTTGGGCTTGGCAGAGATCAGTCTGGTGAGTTCAAGTTTGATGGAGGTGGGAAGGGATATGTTTGCCAGCGAAGAGTTTCATAGAGTGAAGTTTGGCAGTGATAGATTTGGTACAATTTGACGGAGGACGGAACAAATGCAAGCGGGAGATGAAGACAGCAAAACAAGAATCCAACACCGGTTGGGTGGGAAAAAATCCAGACACGTTGTGACAGAGAGGACCAGAAAGTCAAAGTTCAAACACCTCAGGCGCTAATGCCAACAGAGCAACCTAAGAACATGCTGCCAGTGGTTCACCCCTCTTTGCAGAAGTTTGACGATTTTCATACATGGGGATGACCCCCCAGATCCATTTCTGTCTTTACAAACCATTCGTTTTGGGGTAGCCCTGCTTTGGAACAGCGGTGAAACCAAGCGGCATTTGATGGCATGATTGTCCAACAAAGCACAGGTGTGTAATCCGCCAGCTGCAGCTTGCACAACCGTTCGGTTGCTTCCCAGGTCTATGTAGGAGAGATTCCTTGGAGGCTTCCCAGGAACTAAAACTCCAATGGAAACAATCTGAAACAGGAAATCGATAAATCAACTCTGCGTATTTCTGCCTAGACTTTGACTTGGCCAACAGCATGAAAAACACTGAGTTCCTGAGTTCGCCAAAACCAATCAACTTCACCAAGTGAGTTAACGCTGAGAGAAAAAAATGAAAGATTCTCTGAGGTCATCCTTTTTCACCACACCGAGGTTTCACCAGAAAATTCATCTGCCCACATGACTCACGAATGCATCTTTTGGATCACATCATATAGATCATATTGGTGGTGCAATGTGCCCGTCTTGAAAAATGATGGAGTTAGTCAATGGGAAGGATGACATCCCATATATGGAAAATAAAAATCATGTTTGAAACCACCAACCAGATATAGATCATATAGATCACACGTGGATTACGGAAATCGATCCGATCGATCCCCTGTCGATTCATCCGATTGCGGCCAGATTCTCACCCATCTCAAAGGCTTCATCTCCCAGGTCTTCTTGCGTTCCTCGGACGACATCCAGTGACGACATTTAAAAAACGGTTGACGAAATTGAAATTTTTCTGTGATTGAAAAACCTGTTTGGATGATATCGAAAGATTTTTTGTTGGGATTTTCAGGCTTCAACGTGGGAATTCAACGAACATCGTGGGAATTCCGCGTCAAGGCTCCCTGCCCAAGCTGCCCATATTGGCCGTAACCCCAACATTTCATCTGCAGGTTGTCAAGCACAGCACAGCTGTGGAAATTGCCCATTGCAATGCTAGTGGCCTCAGTGCGGGGTGAGACAAATCTCAGACTTTGCCAAGTCAATCAACTCCAATAAGTTTACTTACATATATCTTACAATGCTATGTTAATTACATATATTACCATACTGAGTTATAATGAATTATATATATATATATATGGTTTAAAACCCTGGTGACATCTTGTGGTAAATATCCATTTGATCATCAATCCATAAACCTCAAATTCGCCGAGCCACGCTTCGCCCTCCCAGATCGATGGCAGGGAGGGAGTCGCCCATCTCATCCGGGTCGTCTCCCATGTGACTGGTGGATCCCAGCCCTAAGCGTCCGTAGGAACCAGAGCCCCAGCATTTCAAGGAATCATCGTCCTCAAATGACTGATCTGATAAGGATCTGACATTTGGATGATTTATGGATGATTTTTGGATGATTTGTGGATGATTTATGAATGATTTGTGGATAATGGTCTTAAAAATCAAATGACTTAGATAATCTTGAGAATGATCTTATAATGATTTTGTAATGATTTTAAATGATCTTAGATGATCCCAGGAATGACTCAAATCACTGGTCTTCATGAGTGGACTGTCAACTGATGTGTTCAAACATCCGTTTTATCTAGTGATGTACATTCACGTACACTCGTGTTCAAGGGCCAAAAAAGGAGAAGGAGTAAAGTCAAAAGGTTCTGAATCTGTGGCGAGCATCCAAAATGGCGCACACATGCGTATTGCCTGCCCCATGTCAATTTGATCCCTGACCGATTGAAATTTACCAAGAAAATTGCACAGATTCCACAGGTTCTATACGTTGATTGGTACTGATCTTGGATCTGCCATGAAACCAGCCGAACGTTAATGCACCACCAACCTGATTTGAACAGAGCATTGGTTCTGATTCTGGCCTGATTCGACTGCTTTGGCAAAGCGCCCAATTCCCAAATCGACAGGTTGTGGCAGAGTGCTTGCATCACCAACAGTTGCAGTACCTCAAATTGGTCTTGCCCACAGTGGCCCTGAAGGCCCAATCATTGCATAAATGGTACCTTAATACTTACATGATCGTTCAGCAAGAGAACATTTTCCTAGCCAAACAAACAGTTGTTTGAATGCAGCATTGGAACTACGTCCGAAAGAAATGTAACAAACGGTTGGACAATATCCTAATAGCTCAGATCCGTTTGACAACACTGCAGATTCTGTCGTGTATATGATTGAACGAAGTTTAGAAATCAAACTTCCGACGATATGGACAGATGGAAAAGCAGAGGTGGGAAGAGTCAAAGAGGAGAAGAGAAGAAGAGAGATCAGAGAGTCAGAAGAAAGAAGATGCAGGTGCGGGAAAAGGTAGGAAAATTGGACATTCAGATGTCGTTTCGCGTGGCAGACGCAAGGGATTGTGCACCTTGTCAAAAGTGAGCACAACGTGGGGGTTCTGCAGCATTTCCAAGAACGACGGCAGGCGTGGGGCATTTGAAGAGGACCTGCAAAGATGCATTTTCCATGGCAGGCGCAGTACAAGAGACATGTTCATCAGAGCTGTTAGGAGGTCTTGGCGCTGATTTCCTGAGAGGGGTTGCGTTTTGGAGCATCAGATCTTCAAGTTTGCTTCGATGGTTTTGCGTGACAGGTGCAGCACTTCATATGACGTGGCATCACGTGGCACGCGCAGTACTTTAGACTGGTGGAATGGAAAAATCGCAAAACGCCATGGTACGCGGCTGTCAGCTCTGCACTCAACTTTCCGTTTTTTAAGGAAGTCTCGCAGAATTGCTTCGTTTTGGATGTTGTCGACTTGAAAATTGAAGAAGACTAGCAGAATAGCTTCGTTTTTGACGTTGTCAAGTTCAAAAAGTTGAGGACGTGTCGCAGAATTGCTGCGTCTTTGATGTTGCCAAATTCAAAAATTGAGGAAAGACAGATAGATAGGTAGATAGAAATACAGATAGATAGATGGATAGATAGATAGATAGACAGATAGATAGACAGATAGAAAGATAGAAGGATACAAAGATAGAAAGATAGAAAGATAGAAAGAAAGAAAGAAAGAAAGATAGATAAATAAATAGATAGATAGATAGATAGAAAGATAGATAGATAGATAGACAGACAGACAGATAGATAGATATATATATATATATAGATAGAGAGAGAGATATATATATATAGATAGATAGATATATATAAATAGATCGATAGATAGAAAGAGAGAGAGAGATAGATAGATAGATAGATAGATAGACAGCTAGATAGGTAGATAGGTAGATAGGTAGATAGGTAGTTAGGTAGATAGAAATACAGATAGATAGATAGATAGATAGAAAGATAGAAAGATAGAAAGATAGAAAGATAGATAGAAAGAAAGAAAGATAGATAGATAGACAGGTAGACAGATAGACAGATAGACAAATAGACAGATAGACAGAGAGACAGATAGACAGATAGACAGACAGATAGACAGACAGGTAGATAGATGGATGGATAGATGGATGGATAGACAGATAGATAGGTAGAGAGAAAGAGATAGATAGGTAGAGAAAGAGATAGATAGGTAGAGGGAGAGAGAGAGAGAGAGAGAGATAGATAGATAAATAGATAGAGAGATAGAAAAGATAGACAAGATAGGCAATTACAACAACAACAACAACAACAACAATCACTACACTACACTACTGCTACAACTACAAATGCAAAAATACTACGCTACATTACACTACACTCGTTCCACTACACTACACTAATTACATCTCATTACACTACACTACACCAATTGCACTAACAACTGCAACAAACGCTACTAGCACAACTACAGCTACACTTACAACTACACTACACTACGCGAATTATACTGCAGCACACTACAACTACAAACAACTACAACTACAACTACAACTACAACCACACTACATTACACAACTCTACGCTACACTGATTACATTGCATTACACAAAAACCACAACTACAACTGCAGCTGCAACTGCAACTACCACTACCACTACATTACGCTACACTGCAGTACACATCAGCATACTACACTACACTACACTACAATGCACTACACTAAACTGCACGACACTAAACTACACCAGGCTACACTACACATACTACATTACACTACATTACACTACACTACACTACACTAATTACACTGCACTACACCACACCTACAACTACACTACACTATACTGCACTACACTAATTACACTGCACTACACTGCAACTACAATACCTTACACTAGACTACACTACACTATAACACTCTACACTACACAACACTACGCGACATTACACTGCATAACGCTACACTAATTACACCACATCATGACTACAACTGCAACTGCGCTTGCAAATGCACTATTTACACTACATTACAGCTACAGCTCCACTACACTACACTACAACTAAAGCTACAACTGCAACTACAACTACAACTGCGCTACACCACGCTACATCCAGCAGTTGTGGTAAGGTGACCACTGCAACCATTGCAACCATTCCAAAAAACACAGCTCCAACCACCTGTCGGGCTATCAGTGGACTCGCTCTGCCATCCGTGATTCACAACAACCAATCTCTCCTATAGGTTTCCTATTTTTGAAACTTCCGCCACCGCCTTGCGCGGTACTACCGGTACTTCTATTACTACTATAGCTACTACTACTACTACTCCTCCTGCTGCTACTACTACTACTACTACTACAAATACAAGTACAACTACACTACATTCCGCAAGACTACGCTACACTAAAGTATACATTACATGACACGACAACTGCAACAGCAACTACAACTACTCCTACATTACACCACACTACGCCACACTAATTACATTACACTACGCTACAACTACAGCTACACTCGACTAAGCTAGACTACACTACACTAAACCACTCTACAGTACACATCACTACAGTACACTACACTACAGGAATCACACCATACCACATATACAACCGCAACTGCAACTACACGAGCTATGATTACACTACATTACAACTACGACTCCACTACACTACATTACAACTACATCTGCACTACATCCAGCAGTTGTGATAAGGTGACCGCTGCAACCATTGCAGCCATTCCAAAAAACACAACTCCAACCACCTTCCGGTCCATCAGTGGATTCGCCCTGCCATCCGTGATTCACAACAACCAACCTCTCCTATAGGTTTCCTATTTTGGAAACTTCCGCCACCGCCTTGTGCGGTACTACTGGTATAGCACTACTGAATCTATGCAATACAATGCAGTACGGCGTGGAAGGCTGGAACTCAAAAGTCGCATATTGGGATCGAAGGAACTTCCTTGACCCAATTGGCCTTCAGTACTGCGACCCCAACACCACAGTTCCTCAGTTGACGACTCCACAGCATGGTTCCCTTGAGATTGCATGACATAATCGACAACTGAATCATGGCGAGTGGAAGGGATGGAGAGTGGCTATGACATGGATCTCTATTTGTGATATGTTACATGTACCTAAGTGAATCTATGTCTTTTTTCCCTCTGTGTAGCAATATACATATCCGCCGACCCCTGCCGTTTCCATTGCAGGGGAAGGCGGCCGAGACAGCGGAACATCATCAGCGGCCTGTTCTCCTTCATTGGCAGACGCCTCGTATAAGGTTTGGTTCTATATGCGTTTCAAAGCCAGGCTGTTTCAATGTGGCGGAACATAGCTTCTGGAGGCTTGTTTAGCTGGCCTTTGAAGGTTGGCTGACGGCTCGTACAGGTTTTGGTTCTGTATGCATTTCCAAGCGCGCACATGAGCCACACCCAGCTGCCCTTCAAAGGGCACGATCCGTCCCTCGCCATGCTGCATAGCACGGTGGAACATACATTTTGGAGGCTTGCTGGCCTTTGAAGCTTACCTAACGGCTTGTATAGGGTTTGGTTTTATATGTGTTTCAAAGCGAGCAAACGCGCTACGACCAGGTGCCCTCCGAAGGCACGATCCGTTTCTCACTGCCATGCTGTTTCAGTGTGGCAGAACGTGCGTTTTAGGGGTGTAGCTGGCCTTTGAAGCTCGGCTGACGGCACGTATATATATATATAGGGTTTGGCTTTATATGCGTTTCAACGCAAACAACGAAGGCACGATCCGACCCTCACTGACTATCATGACACCGTGTTGTGGTACATTTCCTTTCATTATCCAAAGCAATCACCGTACTTCTGTACACAGGTGCTCCAAAATTCCCAATCATCTTTCCACACAAGCACCGTCCGATTTGCCTCCCAATGCGCAGCATACCCTGCCATACCATGGCATTGCACTTTTTCGCTGCCTTCTACTCTCAGCTCGCGTTCTTCCATATTCGCACCTAGTCGCGCCTTGCCACAATCCTGCTTCTGCAAACATGCCCAGCCACTGCGCACATATTTTAATAATAAAATCGCATATTTTAATATTCTATCGCCATGCTCTCTTCTGTGTGCTGCCAGCCAAACTGCCTCTCCCATTCGCTCCAGTCACACGCCCCCCAAAAAAGGGGGTCGGCGGCACCAGGGCGGTAGCCCTTATATTTTTTTGACATACGCACATGTGGACATGTGGATACAGAATGATTCGTGCAGATGGCTTAAAGCACCTTGCTCTCTATGAAATGGTACGTCCAAAGCTGGACCATAAACATCCATAAACACTACATGCAAATAGCTCTGCAAATAGCTCTGCATAAGCTCCATGCTGCTCCCCTCGATTCGGCAATGTCCCAAACTTCCCAAACCAAAATCCATGACTCGTCCATGACCTGCTCGAACATTCTAATCATTCTACAACCAATCACATTGAAACACATTGAAACTATGTAATTGCCGAAGAGAACACAAAGTGGCTGTAGAATGATTATGTTTGATCATGTTTGATGATGCGCTTTGATGTTTTTTGAATCAAGTAGCGGAATCTGAAGTGATCCAGCAACTGTGGTCTGTGCCAGCCGAAATCGTTGCTGCGCCAGTAGCTGTCAATTGCAAGGCGAAAATCGCAGCAGAGCTGACCATTCGGCAGCAAACGTGGCTTTGATTTTGATCTTCGGTACAGATTACCATTCAATGTAATTCACATCTGTAGATCGAATCCGCACAAAAAAAATGGAAATTGAAACAACAAGCAAAAACCCATCAATACTGTGCAAGCAGAAATCTTTGAGCCAAACAAGCTCCCCAATGGAAGTTGTTGACAGCCCAAAAGGTGAGTGTGGCCTTGAGTCTTTCCCCTCATGTACACCTCATGTTGAACCGAGCTGCCTCTCCACCGCGGCACCTTCGAACACATCAATTTTCTCGCCGCCAATCTTGTTGAATGCACAACGGATCAAACCGGATTTCCATTCTGATCTAGACGCTTCCATCTTGAACCTGAAGCAGGATTTCAATAAAAACATCTGTAGGCCGGGGCGAAAGCGGGGGCAGCAACCCAAAACTGTTGGATAGACTTTGAAAGATTCATGGATTGGCACATCAAGCACGTTGTTTTCAACCCTTAAACTGGGCGTTGGCACAGCCTCTAGGCAATGACATGAACTTAGACACAACAGCAAACCTTTCATGGCTCATCAAGCCCGTTTCAAGCGAGATTCATCGAACTTGATCAGAAATCAAAACTTGGGGTCTTCGATGGTCTTCGGTTTGTCTGGTTTGCTATTGCGTCGATCAATCCCATGACCTCTGCGCATGCTGTACAACCACTGCGCATGCTGCGCAACTGTACAAATGGTTGTGAGAGAGCCACATTCCGCTAAGGCTTAAGGCCCTTTGGCCTCCTGCGCCGCGGTAGCTGTAGCTGTAGCACAAAAATGCAAAAAAGGTCACAACCCAAAAGTTTCTCAGAGCTACCGCCCCTTACTATGCAAAGTCTTCAAGAGGCTTCAGAGTGATGCCAATGGATTCAGCCCCCTCCAGGTAGGCTTCCAATGTCAATGGATCGACTTCACCCAATTCATCGAACTGCCTGAAACCTGATGCAAGAAGCAGGGTGGCTGCATTGCATGCATAAATCTCTTGGCGTAAGAGCTTCAAATTTGCTCGTTGTCCTTTCAAGCGCGACTCATCAATCTGCATGGTGGCACCAGCATATACCATGACATCTGAGCGGGACACTGGACTAACTGGATTTGGCACCGCAAAGACACAGGCAACAGCAGATAGAGGCATGACTTGGTTCACCAACTGGTCACATTTACCCACAATCCACATGCCACAGTCAGACCCATCACGCAGGTGGGATGCAGTGGCTAGCCCATGAGTCTCCAATTCATCTCGTCTTTGCTTGCTGCCACTGTGGCACATCACGGAGACACCGCGGCGCAATAAGGCCAGCGCAACGGCCTTCCCGGTCTTCCCCGTGGCTCCGGTCATGAAGATTTTCTCCCGAAACTCAGGGAACCTTGCGACCAGCCGTAGCACATTCTCCACCACTGCAGCAGCTGTGAGATGATCTCCATGAGTCACACACATGCTTCGGCTTAAAGGCAAGTGTTGAACCAAGTCCAGGCCTCCACGGTTCAAAGATTCTGCCTTGTTGAGCGCACCTAATCCTAGCACCCGGGCGCCGGTCTTCTCAGCCCTGCTGGCTGCTGCCCTCACGTTGCGTCGAGCATCATGAAGTTCCAAAGAGTTGCGAAAGTGGCGGCCGAAGTGCAGAACCCCCCAAGTCTGGACATGAAGGCCGTTGTACTCGTAGTCATCCAAAACAACATGATTTGGCAAGCCAAGGCGCCTCAAGATATGCGCCCCAACGAAACCAAGCAGCCAAAGAACAGGAAGGAAGAGGTACATCCACCACGATGCGCTCCATGGCTTTTCGGTGTCAGGCGAGGTCAACAAGGTAAACGTATCTACCAGGTAGGCAGGGTGCCCCAGGAAAATGGCATCAATTGGCTGCTGGCAGCGCTGCTTTTTCTCCAAATTCCGAGGCCAAAAGCTGTGCTTCCCGAAGAAGTGCAAGCACACGGGCATGGCCACTTTGGTGTTCCAGAAAGCACTGATAGACAAACCACCAATTGCCATGAAACCAATCTGCTTCAAGACTAACGTTGAAGAAAGCAGGAGTGGGCAAAAGGCTATTATCATGGCCACTCCGGCTGCTGTGATGATGTTGGCAGTCTTCTCAAGCGCTTTGATGCCAGCCTTTTTCACTGGGAGGCCACCATTGCATTCTTCCAAGACTGCCTCAGTATAGAAAATGTCATAATCCAAGGCCACACCCACCAGGAAGGGCAACATCATGGAAGGCACAATGTAGTATAGCCCTTCAGGAAAGACGAGGGAGGACAAACACCAAAGAACAGCTAACATCCAGAACAGGCAAAGGAGGGCCCGCAAGCTCCATAAAACAGATCGTGTGAAGCAAATGGAAATGAGAAGGACCGCGCAAACCGTTGCAACAACCAAATATGGAAAGAACTCGCGAATCTCACCAGATTGGCTGGACAAGAGTGGACCATATCCATGCACATACCATCTGCCCCGATGATGGTCTTCCACAGCTCTCTGCAAGCTCTTGGTCCATCGTTGTCCATCGATGGACAAAGGATTCAATGGGTAGTCGATGTAGACGACGGTACCTTCCTGTCCATTGGTTTGCCACCACTTCAGCAGACTTCCAGCAACATCAACTGCCAAGCACTTGCCATCAATGATGACTTCACTCATGAAGGTTGAACTCGTGAAGTCACTTCTGTACACCTCTTCCCCAATCTCCTGTAAAGCCTTGCAAGCCTGGAGCCTCCACGCTTCCAGGCTCACTTCAGCTGGAGCCACCAGCCCGATTGTTGTGGGGAAAAGAACTTCATATCCAAACTCTTCACCAATGCTGTGGAAGATTTTGGCTGTGGACGAGCCTTGTGGAAGGGCTGGTGTGAAACCCAACATGTCTGAAGAAGGCATCGAGTCCTTCCAAACGCAAGGGGCTGCAGAGAGTAGAATCAAGAACAGAAGAGGCTTGGCACAGCTCGTCAACCGCTCCCCAAATCTCCGCCAAAAGCCCATGGAAACATTGGGAACATGCAACTCTTCGTCACCTGCTGGTGCTTCAGCATCTCCCTCTGGAGCTTGACGACAAGGTCGACAAGGTGCATTGGGCTTGCTAATCCAGAAAGTGGGTCGCGTTCCTAAAATCAGAGCTGGGGTCAAGGTGAGGTTGGCCGCCATGGCCACAGCCACCGCCACAAGCCCACCTGCTCCCATAGCACTGACCAGTTGCACTGGCGTCATCAGTAAGCAGGCAAAGCAGCATGCTAAGATCACACCAGCTTGCGCGACGATACGGCCAGATGTGGAAAGGCTGATAGCCATGGCTTCAGCTGCTGCTGCACCTGCTGCTGTCTCCTTCTGGAATCTGCTCAAAAGAAACAAGGCATAGTCAATGGACATGGACAGGACCACTGCAATCAAGAAGGGCGGCGTGAAAATGCTCACCGGCATCAGGTGGGTTACAAGGCACTCCATGACCAGCACCGAACCTGTGACGGCAGCTAGTACATTGATGATGGCAATGATCACCAAGCGCGGGTTCCCCACCATGTATGCCAAGACCGCAATCCCAAGGGGAAGGGTACCTGCACCAGTAGAAATTCAGCAAACATGTCATCCAAGCAGGTTTCCGGTTTCAAGCAGCACTCGGCTATATTCAATCCGCACTCCAAAATGACATGGAGACTTTTCACAAAAAAATAAAGCTGAAAAGGCTGAAAAAGACACTGGAACTACAACTACAACGGCTGCCGCATTTCTGATGAAAACTGAAAATCCCTACCAGGCCCGACCTGTTGACATGGCCATCACCACTTCAACCCCATCTCTGATACTTTCCACGATGATGGCGAAGGACATCACTTCGGCTTTCAAGTTGGTACCGTCGATGCCCTCTGCCGCCTCTGCAACATCCTTCAGAATGTTGGCCACTTGAAGAGCCTCCTGTGAGAAGTCAGCAACTGGCAAGCCGTTGCATGTGTGCGCACGAACTGCCACCATGATTTGTTCTTGGCTTTTGGAGCTGAGCAGTTTTTGAAAAACATTCCAAAAGCTTCCTGCTGGGAGCGTGACCGTGACTTCAAACTTGAACTCTGCAAAGGTCAAGTTGCGCTGAAACTGTTGAGGAGGCAGAGACCAGAAAGACAGAACTGCTAAGTCGCAGTTCGGCATTTTCTGGCGAAGGGACTCTTCCACTTGGAAAGATGCTTCTGCCAGGTTTTTTTGAAAGGTGTCCTCAACATGCGGACAAGCCAACATCTCCGGAGCAGCATCCAGCATTGGTTCCACCTGTAGCTCGAGGAAGTGAGACAAATTCTCTGGCGACATCATGTTGGACATGAACATGCTCACCAGCGAGTACACTTCACTTCTGAGTTGTGAAGATGTGATACATCCACCGCCAGGCGCAGACTCATTCTGACAGGACAACTCCAACTGGAAAGTGTTTCCAGTGCTCCCAACTTGTTGCAGAGCTGGTTTGATCTGACAGGTAGATACGTTGGTCATCGCCATGACTGGAGAATCACTGCCAAGCACCAGCGCAGCCTGAGCCCCATCCACACCATCACCGAAGAAACCCAGGTACGACTGCTCCTCTTTGTCGTACTGGCTGCCTGGCACGGCAACAGCATGCAACATGATCAACATGTGTCACTGTGCGAAAGTTGGGTTCTGGGAGGTTCTAGGATGTTCTGGGATGTTTTGGGATGCTCAATGTTCTGGGGATCTATACGGCAGTTGCTGCACATCATACGATCGAAACAGGGTGGCATTTCATGGCATTTCATGGCATTTCATGGCATGGCGCCTGGAATCGCTGGAAGATGAAAGCCGCGCTCCGAGATGAATTTCCAAGCGACAGCGCCCCCGGCGATGAGGACTGCGGTCCAGGCGAACAGGACCAGGCGATACCACAGCATCCACTGTGCACATTGCGTACGCTGCATACGCATGGTGGAAGATAGAAAATAGCTGGAAAATAGCTGGAATGCGTGGCAAGCCGTCTGAAGCCGAAAACTGAAAGG